ACTCAATTAAATCTAATCCTTCTCCGCTGACTACACAAGGCAACAAACTGACCACAAGTCAGTGTTAGAAGTAGATGTGTCAGTAACTACAAGTCTGCATGTACATCAGGGCCGGATCTAGCCTATCTGATCTGGGGGTGCAGTAAGAAAAAGTCAGGGGGCATAATGTCAATAGTGTGACAGAGATGCATAGAACCCATATTCCCTGTTCACTCAGAATGCTTCTGTACCACGGAGTCACAACCCGAATGTAACATCTTGACAGTGCAGAGGTGGAAAGGGAGTGAATAGAGAGCACTAGTATGTATTAAGATGATTAAACAGAACCTGTGCCCCTTATGTCAGGTGTCCCTATCAAAGTCCCTGCTTACACCAGGAGTCCTCCTCAAAGTTTCCTCTTTACATCAAGTCCCCCCTTACATTAGGTGTCCTCATCAGAGTATTCCTTACATAAAATATATGCACATCAGAGTACCCCCTTACATTAATTGCCCCATTCAGATGCTCCTTACATCAATCGCTTCAACAGAGTTACATTAATTGCCCCGTTCAGATTGCTCCTTACATCAATTGCTTCAACAGAGTGCCCCTTTACATCAACTATTCTTATCAGAGTTCCCCCTTACATCAATTGTCCTCATCAGGTCTCATGGATCAGTTGGATGCACTCTCAGAGATCTGGGGGGCACAACTAAAATCTTGGGGTGCATAGCTCACCCCAGAACCCCCCTAGATCCGGGACTGATGTACACATTTCAGACATGTGACAAAAGACAGTTACAGTATCATTTTTTAAAGAAATACTTTTACATTTTATCTTTAAAGACCATTCTTGAGCTGTAGCCCAGTGACATTGCCTAGGCACCAGGATTTACATGTGTGTCCAGGCAGTAGATGCCAACCCTGGATGATGCCAGAACCTCTCTGAGGGAAAAAATACCTGAAAGTGTTCCACTTAAACATTAGTTGTTATCAGGCAACCTGAATTTGAGCCCCAAATCCAAGCAACTTATAAGTATGAAAGCACCTAAAAGCATAACGCATTTGACTTAATCTGAAGCATACCTATATAATCGCTTCCTGCAGGACCACATCCATTCTGTAAGGCTAGAGTCACACTATATGCAAAAGGAGAAAGAAAAAAGAGGGTCGCACCGACCTAGTGCATTATCATTTAAAAATGATTTATTGAAAGAACAAAGTAAGTATCATACTCACAATAGACATAAAAACACAGGCATGTCACACGGAATAAGATGTTTGATCCAAACAGCATCTGAGTTCATACAATGGAACCCTGGATGACCAACTGGCTAACGCGTTTCGAGGACACAACCTCTTCCTCAGAGGCTTTGAGGAAGAGGTTGTGTCCTCGAAACGCGTTAGCCAGTTGGACCACCCCAGTCTGTAGAGGGCAGCAAGCACTTTGCAATATTCCAGAACATTCCTATTTGAGTAGAGGGCAGCAAGCAGTGCATATTCCAGAGAACATTCTATTTTTCAGTCCATTCCAGCGCAGGAGAAAAGTGTTTTTGTTGTGTTAGAGTCACACTATGTGTGTAATGGAAACATGTGTAAAATTGAGTTCCAATAATTGATATTGGCACCCCCATGCAACTGGTAATGTTGTGTATTTTTTGCGTGTTTTTGAGCATGCAAGACTGCACTGTGGCACCATGCGGTTTGCTGAAATTTTGTAAAAAAGATCAGGGACTTAATTTCCATGTTTCTTGTGCATAGGGCTGGCCTTTGCAATGAATAGGCTGCCCTACACACAATGCGCAGCAATGCCCATGCACTTGGATGCACCAGTATGGTATGAACCTACACTTGGTCTCATGGGCATCTGCCTTTGTTCATCCTTGGGAGATAAGAATCACCTATCAACGAGATTCTGCCTGTAATTCCAAATCATGGAAAAGCGCACAATGAGCGTTTAGACGCCATTCATTTTGGAATGGAACCCTAAATATGGTGAGATTTTGCTGCAGTTGTTGAATGGCAAAAGGCATGTGTACAAATGAACCAGGATCAGGGCCAAAATTTGCTGCAACAAATGTGCATAGGACAGCCCATTCAAACACACACACACACACAGAATCATGTGAAAACCGCGATTATAAAATCGTGAGCAGGAAAAGCTGGTTCCCACTATGAGATATGTGAATGGGGCCTCAGAGATGTAACTAGAGATGTCAACATTGTGCTGTACTTCTACACACTGAAAGGTTGGAAGAGGACTTTCTCCTATCCAAAGGTACAGCTGGATGTTCACAGCAGTTCATAAGCTCCATACTGCAGCCCTGCATTTTTACAGAGAAGTAGACTAATCCTTTAAGCCCATTATAAAATCTTCTGAAACTTTTAAAAACTTACACCATTCAGCAAGAACTCACAAACTGTTACAATGGTCTTAGACCGCTAACCGCTTGGTGCTATACAGCTATACAATGGATTTGCCCACTTTGCGTCAAAGCAGCCCATTGGGGCCCAAGGGTCTGAAGAGGGCCCCACTAGGGAGGTTGACTGATGTCTCTATTCCAGAACAGCTGACATCAGATGCACAGGATCATGCTCATTGCTAATCACAGGTGTGTATTGCATCCTCCCTATCTGTAAGCAGATTTATTGCCTTTAGAGCTTCTGGTCACCCTGGCCAGCATGCCTAACATAGTCTTCCCAAAGCATAAAGTGTCTTTGCATGAAGGTTATGGAGTAATTGTGTACAGGCGCACCAGCATTCATGTAACAATATAAAATGAAAATAATAAAAAATGATTTTTTTTACTGACTACTATACTATAATGTTCAGTGCTTGCTGACCAGGGTAGTCAAAGACGTGGGAGGACCTAAAATGTTCACCAAAGTTCTAAGACAGGGCTTCTCAACCATAGTTCCATGGAGCCCAAGGGTTCCTCCACAGGTGGGTGAGGGTTCCTTAACCACTTCCCGTCTGGCCCATGTACATATGCGGCTGGAAGGGAGCAGTGCAGAAGGGGGTGGCCATTTATGAACGGCCTCTGCATTCCCTGCCTGTGCGCGCTCCCTGGGATCGCGCTGCACCATGATCTGGAGGACATGGTGGAACACCGATCGCTGTACGGGACCTCTGTGTGAGGTTCCGATCATGTGATCACTGATCGGCCAATCATTGGCTGATCAGTGATCACATGAATAGTAGTAAGCAAGATGTCACTTGCTGACATCATTGCTTACTACTTGTGAAATCTGTGAATGATCACAGAGGTCACATGGTACAAGGCTATTCACAACAGCCTTGTACCATGTGACAAGCTGTGACCAATCACCGCTCTCACAGTATTTCTCAATGGCGGCAAGAATGCAGCCAGAGATAGGGAGAAATGATTGCTTTTACATGGATGTAAAAGCAATCAGTGTAAAAAAAAAAAAAATCTTCATCACCCCCCTCAAGTAGTACAGTGTCACTAGGGTGACAGTATATTTAAAAAAACATACATAATAATATAAAAAAATAAAATAAAAATGTAAAAAGATTTTTTGAAAAATTACAATTTTTGGTTATAAACTAATTTGGGTTTATTTTTTTTTTTTACTAAAAAGATAGCTGAATACATTTTGACCAGGATTTATGAGGAAAGATTATTTATTTGCAAAATTTTATAAGAAAAACACTTTTTTTTCAAAATGTTTGGACTTTTTTATTTATATAGCAAAAAAATAAAAAATCTCAGTGGTGAATAAATACCACCAAAATAAAGTTTTATCTGTCTCAAAAAAATGCTAAAAATTAATATGGGTACAGTGTTGCATGACAGCGCAATTGTCATTCAAAGTGTGATAGCGCTGAAAGCTGAAAATTGGCCTGGGCAGGAAGGGGGGTGAAAGTGTCTGGACTGGAAGTGGTTAAGCAATGAGAACTTTTTGCCTCTCAGATAAGATCCAACTGACACCATTGACCCTTTTAACTTTCTGTGAGGTGAGAGTTCTTCCCAATGACCACAAGTGTAAGGAGCATTCTTCCCACTGACCATCACACTAATGTACATGAGCTGTAGATGTAATTATTTTTAGCAGGGGTTCCCTGAGTTTGGAAAATTATTTCAAACGTTGCTCTGTGTTGAAATGGTTGAGAAAGGCTGATCTAAGATCAGGGGTGGACTGACAACTCATGGGGCCCCCGGGCAATAGGGGATCATGGGGCCCCTGTGTCCTTGCCCAAACTCAAAAAAGCCTATGAAAAAGGTACCAGGGGCATCCCATGGGGCCCCCTACTGACCCGGGCCCTCGGACAGTGCCCGAGTTTCCAAATGGTCAATCCGCCCATCTAAGATTTCATACTCTGACAAAGATCAATTAATAGAAAATGCTGGTGAGCTATCTATCCACAGCACTGGTCCTTAGTAGAGTATGGGTAATGTTAAAGCAGATCTCCACCCTTTCTGCATACTTCCAGTCTCTTTACCCCTCCTGCCCTCCTATCCTTAAATAGAGCAATCTTTTTTTAAACCTTTTTTTAAGGAAACTTGTTTGAGCACCCCCCTCCCCTCCCCCCCCCCCCCACACACACACACACACCTGTGCACACCAATTGCCTAGGTGAACCTTTACTGTGTGCCCTTTGCCTTCTGGGATGTGTACATCAGCTAAAAAAAAAGATAGCTGAATACATTTTGACCAAGATTTATGAAGAAAGATTATTTATTTGCAAAATTTTATAAGAAAAACACTTTTTTTTCAAAATGTTTGCAGGACCCTGCTAACTGCATCAAAACTTCACCGGAGCTGCATGTGGTGTGAACTGTAAGCAAAAATGTATCCGGAATGCATCTGGAGTGCATTTTTGTAGTGTAAACTGGCCGTAAAAGTGTAATATCCAGATTTGTGAAAGCAAGTGGCACACACAGATTGGATTTAAATCCTTTGTAGCCTTTGGGGTATATAGTTTAAAGTATTTGTGCCCAAAGTTTAGCTTTAAAATATTACTAAACCTAGGACCCTGCATTCACTACATCTGGTCTCTCCCCGGACCCTGCATTCACTATATCTGGTCTCCCCGGACCCTGCATTCACTACATCTGGTCTCCACGCACCCTGCATTCACTATATCGGTCTCCCCGGACCCTGCATTCACTATATCTGCTCTCCCCAGACCCTGCATTCACTATAACTGGTCTCCCAGGACCCTGCATTCACTATATCTGGTCTCCCCGGACCCTGCATTCACTATATCTGGTCTCCCAGGACCCTGCATTCACTATATCTGCTCTCCCAAGACCCTGCATTTACTATATCTGGTCTCCCCGGACCCTGCATTCACTATATCTGGTCTCCCCGAACCCTGCATTCACTATATCCGGTCTCCCAGGACCCTGCATTCACTATATCCGCTCTCCCCGGACCCTGCATTCACTATATCTGGTCACCCACAGTACACACAACATGGAAATGCAATTATTTTAATAAATATAAACTGCTAAATACCTTTTCTCATCAGCAGTATATAGCAGTCTTGTGACTTCTATCAGTATCTAGCAGAGCACTGGTTAAAGCTTATAGACAGAGTTTTCATTTTCCCCAGATTGTCCTATGATGCTGCATGACCCCTGACCCGTCTGTCTGGACACCGCTGATTGGCCCTGTGCTGAACACATGCACCCTCCCAAGAAAAAAAAAAAACTCTAGCAATACACACTAAACTGAGCATGTGCAGCTTACCCTCAAAGCTCTGTTCTATCAGCAGATGGATTGGGGACAGTAGAAGAAGGGGAGGATCAGAGAAGACAGGATCAAACAGCCGTTTTACACAATGCGAATGATTAACCCCTTAGGTTCCACAGTGAGTATAACAAGCATGCTTTACTGTATATACAGACTGATTGTACTGTTGTGGCTTTAGTAACACTATAAGTCATACTGCCAGTGAAGGCGATGCAGTAGAATGTCTGAACGCAGAGGATGAGAGTGTGTCCGAATCTGAGCTGCATTTCAGCTTTACTGCAATCTCATGGAAAGGAGAGAAAAGTGATCATTATTATTATACAGGATTTATATGGCGCCAACAGTTTGCTCAGCACTTTACAATATAACAGGAGACAATACAGAAACAATACAGTTCAATACAAGAGGGATAGGAGGGCCCTGATCCTGGGAGCTTACAATCTAAGAGGGAGGGGCTAGTGGTACAATAGGTAGTAATTGTGGGGGATGGAGTGGTTGGAAGAGTAGAAGATTCCAGTATTAGTTGAGGGCAGGATAGGTTTCCCTGAAGAGAGAGGTTTTCAGAGATCGCCTAAAAGTGAGCAGAGTAGGCGATAGTCTGATAAATTGGGGTAGAGAGTTCCAGAGGATGGGGGAAGCTCTGGAGAAGTCCTGGAGACGAGCATGGGAGGAGGCGACAAGGGAGCTAGAGAGCAGGAGGTCATGCGAGGAGCGGAGAGGACGGTTTGGGTGATATTTGGAGACAAGATCGGTGATGTAATTTGGGGCGGAGTTATAAATGGCTTTATGTGTTCATTGTTAGTGTTTTGAATGTTATCCGTTGGGCAACGGGAAGCCAGTGGAGGGATTGGCAGAGAGAGGTGGAGGACACTGAGTGGAGGCCAGTGGAGGGATTGGCAGAGAGAGGTGGAGGACACTGAGTGGAGGCCAGTGGAGGGATTGGCAGAGAGGGGTGGAGGACACTGAGTGGAGGCCAGTGGAGGGATTGGCAGAGAGGGGGGAAGGACACTGAGTGGAGGCCAGTGGAGGGATTGGCAGAGAGGGGTGGAGGGCACTGATGGAGGTCAGTGGAGGGATTGGCAGAGAGGGTTGGAGGGCACTGAGTGGAGGCCAGTGGAGAGATTGGCAGAGAGGGGTGGAGGGCACTGAGTGGAGGTCAGTGGAGGGATTGGCAGAGAGGGGTGGAGGACACTGAATGGAGGTCAGTGGAGGGATTGGCAGAGAGGGATGGAGGCTATTGAGTGGAGGCCAGTGGAGGGATTGGCAGAGAGGGGTGGAGGGCACTGATTGGAGGTCAGTGGAGGGATTGGCAGAGAGGGGTGGAGGACACTGAATGGAGGTCAGTGGAGGGATTGGCAGAGAGGGATGGAGGCCATTGAGTGGAGGCCAGTGGAGGGATTGGCAGAGAGGGGTGGAGGGCACTGATTGGAGGTCAGTGGAGGGATTGGCAGAGAGGGGTGGAGGACACTGAGTGGAGGCCAGTAGAGGGATTGGCAGTGAGGGATGGAGCACACTGAATGGAGGCCAGTGGAGGGATTGGCAGAGAGGGTGGCAGATACAGAACGGTTAGTAAGGTGGATGATTCCGGCAGCAGCGTTCATGATAGACTGAAGAGGGGATAGCCTGCCATGAGGTCGGCCAATATAATGAGTTATATTAGTTATTTCAACAGCTCTTCATTTTACAATATCATGTTTTCCATTCAAATCCATTTACTTTCTCTCTTGTTCTGTTGCTGAAAATGATTACAGTCTGCTAGGTGTAATTACTTGTAATGTTTCATGTTCAGTTCTCATCATCTCCCGGACTCCAGCTAACATTTTAAGGATGACATTGGGAGTACTTACACTGGCTGCTTAAAGCGGAACTTTACTGCATCTGAGCACCACAAACCAAAAACGCTATTTCATTCATTTTTATTATTGAAAGCAAACTCCCCATCCATCCATGTCTCCATTTTGCTGAAAAATCACTTTGCAAAACACACCCTTAGCATTTCTGAACATGGCCATTTTGGGTAAGGGCAGGTGATTCATGTAGTATTTACTTCCTGGAATCCATCTGCCCTTAGCTCAGGCATGCAGACAGAAGGTTGTGCTTAGCTGAGAAAGCCCCTCCTCCCCTCCTGAAGGCTCCTGGGATGTTTGATATCATTTGCCTAGGCCAGAAACTCGGAAGTGAATGAAGAAATGTAATAAGGAGTAAATATAATATACCTTTTTACTATTTACTAATGCTAGCAGCAGAAGGATTCAAATAATCAATGCTGATTGAGAGAGTGAAGCTCTGCTTTAAAATAGGCATACAGGTATGATCAAATGATATTGGTGGTATGCAAATCCTTACATTTTACATCATTTCCTAATTTCAGCACTATTGTCCACTTAACAAAGTTTGGCAATTTTTACAGTTTCACTGGATCCCCGAAGAAGCTGGAAATCCCTGTTGTAGACACCACTACCCCAGAGATCTTCACCAGCTTCCAGGTCCTATGCTGCATTGTGAACACAGGAGACCGGTTATTGAGCACAGGCACCATTCAGAGAATGCTTTGCATTTTCTCAATGAATGCAAGCATTCTCTGATTGGACGAGGTGGAGAGGGAGATGTCACTACCTCGCTCTCCACCTCATCCAATCAGAGAACATTTTTTGCATTCATTGAGAGAATGCAAAAAAGTCTGTGAATTGTCCCCGTGCCAAGCGGACGAACTCTTGTGTTCACAATACAACAGAGCTGCAGCTTGGAATAGGACCTGGAATCATTCTAATAGCGGAATCTGCTACAGTGATTTCCTGCATTCATGGGGATCCCACTGGTATGGCACACACATACTAACATCGGTCCAATCTGAACCCAAGTAACTATATAAAATTTGCTATACCTGGAATTCACAAGTCAAGCAGATATAAAAGTATACAGTACAGGGGCGGACTGACAACTCATGGGGCCCCTGGGCAATAGGTGATCATGGGGCCCCTGTGTCCTTGCCCACACTCAAAGCACACCCAAAAAAGCCTATAAAAGGTACCAGGGGCATTTCATGGGGCCCCCTACTGACCCCGGGCCCTCAAGCAGTGCCGGAGTGCTCGAATGGTCAGTCCGCCCCTGATACAGTATGTAAACCCTCACCTTGTAAAACAACCCATTCAGTTTAAAATAGAAATGAAAGGTAAAAGATTATAAATAGATTTTCTCCCCTTTTTCACAAGTGATCACATACCCCCTGTTCTCAGCTACACAGAGAGATGAGGGAAGAGAAACAGCAGTACACTGGACTTCCCAGTGAATGGCTGTGCAAAGGGGGGGGGGTGTCAGGACAAGTCTGATCAATGGAAGAGTTCCCAGCACAGCTAGAGAACTGAACAAGCTGTGCTCTCATGCCTAGTGTGGTCAGGTTTTGATAGGAAAGCAGAGGGACTGGAAAGAACTTCAGAGATTTCACACAAAAGAAGCAATCCAAAGAGAGGAGGAGACTTTTTAACACAAGTACATGGTACGGCAGGCACATATCAGGAATATGGAATGTTGGGTTTACATATTCTTTAAAGACACCCATTAATGCAGTTCTGTATTCAATAACATACAGATTCATAAATGTAAGCAGTGTAAGTACCTGCATTTGACAAAACATCAGCCTCTTTCAATTCCCCTGCACAACAGAGCTCAGACTGGAAGGGTGAGAAGCAGCACAGGCAGCCAATCAGTTGTGCTGCAGGGTTCATATGTAACAAAGATCATACTGATAGGAGGAGAGAGCAGAGTGACAAAGAGAGGAGCTCATCACTGTGCTGTTTCTCCTTTTACTGTCCAGTCACATGCTGGGGCGAGACAAGACAAGACCTGTAAGTGGCACTTACATGCATGCAATGCCAAGCTGTGGTTTCTAAGCGAGCAAAATCCTCTCTTGTATTAAAAGAGGTATAGACTCCAGAGAGAGATATCATTTCCCCGGTACAAATCATTAGTAACACCTCATCTGGAACATAAGGGGGGATTTGATCTCCATGTATAATACATAAAGGGGGATATGATCTCCATGTATAATACATAAGGGGGGGGATATGCATCTCCATGTATAATACATAAGGGGGGGATATGATCTCCATGTAAATACATAAGGGGGATATGATCTCCATGTATAAATACATAAGGGGGGATATGATCAACATGTATAAATACATAAGGGGGGATATGATCAACATGTATAAATACATAAGGGGGATATGATCTCCATGTATAATACATAAGGGGGAATATGTTCTCCATGTATAATACATAAGGGGGGATATGTTCTCCATATATAATACATAAGGGGGGATATGATCTCCATGTATAATACATAAGGGGGGATATGTTCTCCATATATAATACATAAGGGGGGATATGATCTCCATGTATAATACATAAGGGGGGGATATGATCTCCATGTATAATACATAAGGGGGATATGATCTCCATGTATAATACATAAGGGGGGATATAGATCTCCATGTATATATACATAAGGGGGGATATGATCTCCATGTATAATACATAAGGGGGGGATATGATCTCCATGTATAATACATAAGGGGGGATATGATCTCCATGTATAATACATAAGGGGGGATATGATCTCCATGTATAATACATAAGGGGGGTATGATCACCATGTATAATACATAAGGGGGGATATGATCTCCATGTATAATACATAAGGGGGGATATGATCTCCATGTATTAATACATAAGGGGGATATGATCTCCATGTATAATACATAAGGGGGGATATGATCTCCATGTAATAATAATAAGGGGGATATGATCTCCATGTATAATACATAAGGGGGGATATGATCAACATGTATAATACATTAAGGGGGGATATGATCTCCATGTATAATACATAAGGGGGATATGATCTCCATGTATAATACATAAGGGGGGATATGATCAACATGTATAATACATAAGGGGGATATGATCTCCATGTATAATACATAAGGGGGGATATGATCAACATGTATAATAATACATAAGGGGGATATGATCAACATGTATAATACATAGGGGGGATATGATCTCCATGTATAATACATAAGGGAGGAATATGATCTCCATGTATAATACATAAGGGGGGATATGAGCACCATATATAATACATAAGGGGGGATATGATCTCCATGTATAATACATAAGGAGGGGATATGATCTCCATGTATAATACATAAGGGGGGATATGATCACCATATATAATACATAAGGGGGGATATGATCACCATGTATAATACATAAGGGGGGATATGATCTCCATGTATAATACATAAGGGGGATATGATATCCACGTAATAAATACATAAGGGGATATGATCTCCACGTATAATACATAAGGGGGGATATGATCTCCATGTATAATACATAAGGGGGGATATGATCTCCATGTATAATACATAAGGGGGATATGATCTCCATGTATAATACATAAGGGGGGGATATGATCTCCATGTATAATACATAAGGGGGGATATGAACTCCATGTGTATAATACATAAGGGGGATATGATCACCATGTATAATACATAAGGGGGATATGATCTCCATGTATAATACATAAGGGGGATATGATATCCATGTATAATACATAAGGGGGGATATGATCACCATATATAATACATAAGGGGGGATATGATCTCCATGTATAATACATAAGGGGGATATGATATCCATGTATAATACATAAGGGGGGATATGATCACCATATATAATACATAAGGGGGATATGATTCTCCATGTATAATACATATGGGGGGATATGATCTCCATGTATAATACATAAGAGGGGATATGATCTCCATGTATAATACATAAGGGGGGATATGATCTCCATGTATAATACATAAGGGGGGATATGATCTCCATGTATAATACATAAGGGGGGATATGATCACCATATATAATACATTAAGGGGGGATATGATCACCATGTATAATACATAAGGGGGATATGATCTCCACGTATAATACATAAGGGGATATGATCTCCATGTATAATACATAAGGGGGGATATGATCTCCATGTATAATACATAAGGGGGGATATGATCTCCATGTATAATACATAAGGGGGGGATATGATCTCCATGTATAATACATAAGGGGGGATATGATCTCCATGTATAATACATAAGGGGGATATGATGCTCAACATGTATAATACATAAGGGGGGATATGATCAACATGTATAATACATAAGGGGGGATATGATCTCCATGTATAATACATAAGGAGGAATATGATCACCATGTATAAATACCATAAGGGGGGATATGAGCAACATATATAATACATAAGGGGGGATATGATCTCCATGTATAATACATAAGGAGGGGATATGATCTCCATGTATAATACATAAGGGGGGTATGATCACCATATATAATACATAGGGGGGATATGATCACCATGTATAATACATAAGGGGGATATGATCTCCACGTATATTACATAAGGGGGATATGATCTCCATGTATAATACATAAGGGGGGATATGATCTCCATGTATAATACATAAGGGGGGATATGATCTCCATGTATAATACATAAGGGGGGATATGATCTCCATGTTATACATAAGGGGGGGATATGATCTCCATGTATAATACATAAGGGGGGATATGATCACCATGTATAATACATAAGGGGGATATGATCTCCATGTATAATACATAAGGGGGGGATATGATCACCATGTATAAATACATAAGGGGGGGGATATGATCTCCATGTATAATACATAAGGGGGGATATGATCTCCATGTATAATACAAAAAGGGGGGATATGATCTCTATGTATAATACATAAGGGGGGGATATGATCTCCATGTATAATACATAAGGGGGGGGATATGATCACCATGTATAATACATAAAGGGGGATATGATCTCCATGTATAATACATAAGGGGGATATGATCTCCATGTATAATACATAAGGAGAGGATATGATCTCCATGTATAAATACATCAGTGGTTCATGTAGTGAACTCGGTGTAGTTCTTCACCCTGAGGTCATCACAGAGGACAAGGGGGCACTCTTTACATCTGGGGGAAAAGAGATTTAATCACCAACATGAAAGGTTTCTTCACAGTGAGAGCTGTGAAAATGTGGAATAGACTTCCTCAAGAGTTGGTTCTGGCCAGCTCAGTGGGTTTCTTTTTTAAAGTCCTGGATTCTTTCTTGGATACACAGAATATAACTGGATACTAACATTTGTAGGGAAAGTTTTCCAGGGAATATCCAAATGCCTCTCGGGGGATCAGGAAGGAATTTTTTCCCCCACAGGAGCAAATTGGATCATGCTTTGCTGGGTTTTTTCGCCTTTCTCTGGATCAACTGTGGGTGTAGGATTATAACTTTTTTTTTTTTTTTTTGTTGAACTGGATGGACTTTTGTCTCTTTTTCAGCCAGACTAACTATGTAACTTAACTGCAGCTGAGAAAAAAAAAATCAGGTCTCTTCCTGTGGCTGGCAGAGGTGTGCGGATTGACAGAAACACAAATCCTTTGTCTGTTAAAACATAATTTTTTATTCCTCCTTTGATCCTAGTGTTCACCTTTAAAGTGCACTTCCACTCCCAGAAAATCTCTTCTTTCCGATGGGTATTTTTTTTCAGCAATTATTTAAGCCGTTCTGCTTTTTTGCTCACCCAGCATCATCATGTAGCCACATGTGAGACATAGGAACTCCATCCATAAATTAAAGCTAACTCTAATTAAATCAAATACAGATTCCATTCACTTCATTCCTGGGCTGTTGTGTTACATTAATTGGCAACAGGCCGGGATATATTTCTACAAATATTACCGGTTATAAGACACATTTTATATAAATAAAGGGAAAGCGTATCGATTCTGCTCATGATCTGCGGGTCGTTCATTTTGGGCCTCTAGGGCAGTTTATGAACATGGCGTAGCATGGGACATCACATCTGTGTTCTCCAACTTGTTAATTACTAGGGAAAGAGATAAAGGGGGTACAAAGGGATCATCGACTAACTTGTACTGGGCTAAGTCTACAAATAAAGTAATGTTCCCAACCCCTTCTGACCACAGTACAGCACTATAGTCCCAACACAAGACACTACGTTTTGCAGCACCTCACTAGGACTTGTCTGGACCTTTAGTCCTCATGCACACGGGACGTTTTTACAGCAGTTGTTTTTGGCTTTTGGCATTTTTTTTCTACAGCCAGTACACTCCCCAGCATGCTATCCTTTGTGTCCATCCCCAACATGTTATCCTATGTGTCCATCCCCATAATGTTATCCTGTGTGTCCATCCCCAGCATGTTATCCTATGTGTCCATCCCCCCCTGTGTGTCCATCCCCATAATGTTATCCCATGTGTCCATCCCAGCCCTATGTGTCCATCCCCGGCATGTTATCCTATGTGTCCATCCCCGGCATGTTATCCTGTGTGTCCATCCCCAGCATGTTCTCCTATGTGTCCATCCCCGGCATGTTATCCTATGTGTCCATCCCCAGCATGTTATCCTGTGTGTCCATCCCCAGCATGTCCATTGTCCATCCCCAGCATGTTATCCTATGTGTCCATCCCCGGCATGTTATCCTATGTGTCTCCTATGTGTCCATCCCCGGCATGTTATCCTATGTGTCCATCCCCGGCATGTTATCCCCATCCCGGCATGTTATCCCATGTGTCCATCCCCAGCATGTTATCCTATGTGTCCATAGCCTGTTATCCTATGTGTCCATCCCGGCATGTTATCGTATGTGTGTCCATCCCCGGCATGTTATCCTATGTGTCCATCCCCGGCATGTTATCCTATGTGTCCATCCCCATGTTATCCTATGTGTCCATATGGCATGTTATTCTGTGTGTCCATCCCCGGCATGTTATTCATGTGTGTCCATCCTATGTGTCCATCCCCGGCATGTTATCCTATGTGTCCATCCCCAGCATGTTATCCTGTGTGTCCATCCCCAGCATGTTCTCCTATGTGTCCATCCCCGGCATGTTATCCTATGTGTCCATCCCCGGCATGTTATCCTATGTGTCCATCCCCGGCATGTTATCCTGTGTGTCCATCCCCGGCATGTTATCCTATGTGTCCATCCCCAGCCTGTTATCCTATGTGTCCATCACCAGCCTGTTATCCTATGTGTGTCCATACCCGGCATGTTATCGTATGTGTGTCCATCCCCGGCATGTTATCGTATGTGTGTCCATCCCCGGCATGTTATCCTATGTGTCCATCCCCGGCATGTTATTCTGTGTGTCGGCATGTTATCCTATCCCCCGGCATGTTATTCTGTGTGTGCATGTTATTCTGTGTGTCCATCCCCAGCCTGTTATCCTATGTGTCCATCCCCGGCATGTTATCCTGTGTGTCCATCCCCGCATGTTATCCTATGTGTCCATCCCCGGCATGTTATCCTATGTGTCCATCCCCGGCATGTTATCCTATGTGTGTCCATCCCCGGCATGTTATCCTATGTGTCCATCCCCGGCATGCTATGTCCATCCCCGGCATGTTATCCTGTGTGTCCATGCACACCTAGGCTGAAATCAGCGTTTTTTGGCAGGGGCGATTTTTGGCTGGAAACCCCCCCAGAACTAGTGGGTTTCAAGAGGAGTTTTTTAGCTGTAAAAACGCTCTTATGCTGTAAAATGCTGCAAACCAGCGTTTTTGGACTTTTTTGAGCAAAAACATTTTTTTTGGGTAAATAAAAATGCTAAAAAACGCAAACGCGGCAAAACACGGCTAAACACTAATGCAAACATGCTAAAAAACTTTTTTTTAACGTGACTTCACACAGATAACGCTACCAGCGTTATTTAAACGCCCCGTGTGCATGTAGCCTTAAGTTAAGGCTTCTTCAACATGGGTGGCCAGAGGGTGGTAAAAAAAGACAGTTAACTTGCACTTCTACCACCCACCTATAAGCAGACATGGTGCCGCTTGGGTGTGTACAGTCTGCCTTGGCTGCGAAGCTTTGCAGCATGGCAATTTGAACTTTACATGCGGAGTTTGATAGGTGGCGCTGCCTGTCAAACTCTTCTATGTAAGCAAATGGGGGCAGCATGTAGCCAACAGCTAACCAATTGGCAGTTACGGTATATTGCTGCAATGTAAAATTGGCATGTGTCAATTAAAAAAAACCTCCCTCCCCCATGCACAGGGTCACTTTGTATGTAAAAAAGGGGGAGATGGACGCCACTCTACCAACCCCAGGAGTCAGATGTAAGGGATGGCCAGAGTGGTGGTTGAGGCCATCCCTTACATCTGACACCTGGGGTTGGTAGAGCGGCGTCCATTTCCTTTTTGAATTGACTGATGCTGGAATTGCTTTTGGACAACTGCTCCCTCTCTCACATCTACCGGTTGGGTGACTCCTTCCTCCTATCTCCAGCTTGGAGCCACACCGTAAGATATCTTTAAAATAGGAGGAGACATACTTACCCTTCTGGTGGCCTGTTTGCTGAAACCAGGAGCAAAATATATAAAGTCTTCCTTTAATGCTCTTAAAAAGGATCATAGATATTTAAAACGCCCATAAATGTCCATGGGGTATCTTTGCTACACGATAATATTGGATATCTGGATGCTTCTATCATACAACACCTCCAATTATGAAGCCACCCCATTTGTCCCAATCCAGCTCTAAACACTGTACAGTATATATAAAACTGACCTATACCTTCATGTGTGTATTTCACAAAATCACATTGCTGATTTTACAGTTTGGTGTCACTATTTCATCAGGACTAAAGTTAGAGGTCAAGATCAGGTGCAGCTAGGTAGCTCCTCAAATAAGGCAGGCACAAGGGAATTCAGGGACCAAGGGGGAGACACTCCTCAGGCAATGAGGGCAAGAGAACTTATTTCCACAAACCAGAGTACCCTAATGTGTCAGTTCGCAGTTCAGCCCATATCATGTTAAGTTTAATTTCAATTAGAGTGGTTGTAAACCTCAGACATGAACAAAGCATATCCATATATAGTGTGTACTTGTCTCAATCCAGACCACTAAGTGTCATTTGGGTATGCTGCTTCATTCCTCTGCTATCAGCATGAATCACTTCTGATAAGTTTTCCTGGAGCCAAGAGAAAAATGGTGACGGGGAGGGCACAATCTGTGATTGACAGCCTCCTGTGAGCTGTTTGAAGGGGGATGTGTCCCTTCCCTCCAATCAGCTCTCAGAGCTCTCCTCACTGAGCTTTGCAGTGTGTAGCTTCAGCTCTCCACCTTTTTTTGACAGCTCTACAAGCTCTATAAATTCAGCACTTTCAATGGATGTAAAGAGGAGAAGACAATGATAAACAGGTACAACTTAAGTATTTGTTTCATCTCTGTGTATCACCTGAGGTCAGTCACTTCACTAGATATACACTGCTCAAAAAATCAAAGGACCATATTGATCTGGTCAGTTAAGTAGCAGAGGGGGTTGTTAATCAGTTTCAGCTGCTTTGGTGTTAATGAAATTAACAACAGGTGCACTAGATGGGCAACAATGAGACAACCCCCAAAACAGGAATGGTTTTACAGGTGGAAGACACTGACATTTTTTTCATCTACCTACTCATCTTTTCTGACTGTTTTTCACTAGTTTTGCATTTGGCTAAAGTCATTGTCACTACTGGTTACATGAGGTGATACCTGGACCCTACAGAGGTTGCACAGGTGGTCAAACTCCTCCAGGATGGCACATAAATATGTGCCATTGCCAGAAGGTTTGCTGTGTCTCCCAGCACAGTCCCAAGAGCATGGAGGAGATTCCAGGAGCCAGGCAGTTACTCTAGGAGAGCTGGACAGAGCCGTAGAAGGTTCTTAACCCATCAGCAGGACCGGTATCTGCTCCTTTGTGCAAGGAGGAACAGGGTGAGCCCTGCCAGAGCCCTACAAAATGACCTCCAGCAGGCCACTGGTGTGAATGTCTCTGACCAAACAATCAGAAATAGACTTCATGAGGGTGGCCTGAGGGCCCGACGTCCTCTAGTGGGCCCTATGCTCACTGCCCGGCATCATAGAGCTCAATTGGCATTTGACATCAAACACCAGAATTGGCAGGTCCACCACTGTGCTTTTTACAGATGAGAGCAGATTTACCCTGAGCACATGTGACAGATGTGAAAAAGTGCATTGTTGTGATGAAGGATCCAAGTTGAGCTGACCTCAGGGTGGACACAAAAAAACTGTCTCAAGTGACGAAGAACTTCTAGGTAAAATCTCTGATTCACAGTTTGAACAGTAGGTACAAATTCCTTATGGACAATTCCATGTGAATACAAAAAAAAAAAAAACAATGACCATTGATTTGAATTTTGTTTTGCTCATTCAAGCTTTCTTGGGGTGAGGTGACGTGGATGTGTTCTATTCTGACTTTGTTTCTTCATCTCGGGATTGTACTCAAACTCCTAGGATTCATCTCCTATGATCACTCAACTCACAAAATCAGGCTTTCTTTCTAAACGGGCTAATGGGTCTTGGAAAACGAGTTGACGGTGTTCCTTCTGATTAGGTGAAAAGTTTTTCACACACTTTTCTAATGTTCAAATCACAATTTCATGAACAATTGACTTGGTAATTCCCATTTCCTCTGCAATCATTTTGAACCTCACTACATCCACATTCTGTTCCGTTTTTCAAGAAGACAGGCATCCTGATTATTGTTCGTCTTCAACACCTTCTCATCCCTTTTTTGAAGGCCTCGTGCCATTGGTACACTTGTGCAGATGATAGTGCAGTTTCTCCATAAGCTTTCCTCACCATTTCCAAAGTTACTGATGCACTTTCACCCAATTTCACACAAAATGTTATTGCGTACTGCTTTTCCAAACTCTTTTGCATTTTTCTTAATACGAGGCACTTGAACAGGGTGTCATAAAAAAGAATGTCTCAACAGCGACAGGGCTGGAATGCAACTGATCAGTGTTCTAACATATACCTGGCACCCTACCCTACGTGACCTTGGCCAGCTTCTTCCTTCACAGGGCCCTCCTTGAGCGTAGAAACCTAATTATCAATATATTCTTGACACACCTCATAAACTGATGTTCTACCTTTAATTTTGGAAAAAAAGCTTTTCATACGGCCATTTAATAAGCTGGCCCAGCAGAAGATGCCTCCTTGTGAACTATTTCTCTCTAACCGGTACTCCATACAGAGTTGTATGACCTGGATAATGCATGGGAGGAGTCCTGTCTGTCCATCCTCTGTCTCATTCAGTTGACTCAAGAGAACTGAACTGCTGGGGATCAATTGGCACTCTCAAATATGTATATTTTTAAATCTGTATCAAAATGAAAAAAAAAATGAAACAAAAACACTGCATTCCTCTTTAGCACACATAGATAAGATGGTTTTTCAATAAACGGATCATATTTATGTATTCATCCAAAAGTCTGCAAATATTTTTTACTGTTGAGTTACATGAAAAAATGCTCTCTGATCTCAGAAAATTGGGATAGTTTTGCATTCAGAACAAATAATTCCCAACGCAAGTTTGCATTTTGTGTTTGTATGTTGCAGAGAAAAACCCTGCTGAGACAATCTGGATGCCTCCTTCCCTGTACAAAACTAATTACGCCACATCGGTAACTGGCAATCCTCTGTGCTGCATAAGTATAAATTTAGTTAACAGCAAACCCTCTGAGTCTTTACATTGAGTGATACATCGTTGTGAATAATAAACTCTGTGCAGGCCCATCAACTAATAGAAATAATGGATTGACATGCCAAACAAGAGAATGTATGTTCTAACTGGAGATATGGTCTGATTACAAACCTCAAAATTTTCCAAGATGGGAAAGAGGGACAACCTTTTAGTGGCAATATTTTTTGGGCAACAGGCTCTGGGTATACTGACAAAGAGTATTGTTTAATGGTGGTTGTAACGGAACCGGAACCCAGACCACACTTGGGTATTTTCCATTATACTCCAGCTTCCCTGTCCGAGCACAAATCCCCGGACACCACCCGCTGATCATGCAGGAAAATAGACAGCACCAGACTCTTCTTAAGACAGGAAGTCAACTTCTTAATTCTTACACACACACAAGATATATACACAGGGCGGGGAAACACAACCAGGGACAGGAAACACATCATCAGCCTGCCCCATCAGTGGGAAGGGCTACAGGAAACACATCATCAGCCCACCCCATCAGTGGGAAGGGCTACAGGAAATACCCCCCCCAACAAAGACACAGAACAGTGGGATGCAGCACATGGCAGAGGACAATGGACAGCCACATGGCAGAGAACAAAGGAAAACACACCAATACACACTATACATTCCCATTCACACCCTGTACCCCTTAACAGGCACAGGATGTGTTAAACATAAGAATTTGGGAAGATGATACAGGGGTCCCCCCACCCCAAAAAGTCACTCCCGTCACAGTGGTAAGGTTTGCAACACAGGCAAAAGGGTGCAATTAAGTTGTTCCAGTCAACAGGTTGTAGGCTTGTAGGGATGATACAAGGTAGAATTCATAGATAA